TATACCATTAAAAAAGGTAGGGGATATTCCATTTTGCGAGCATTACACGAGCCAATGCCAATGCATATGGGTAAAAGTTATATATATCCATACAGATGAAACTTTTCCTAAGAAATGGAATAAATTGTCACATTTTCCCTTGATTTCTCTTCATCATCTGTTTCCTCCTTTGGTTCATCATTTGCATTTTATCCATCTTGTAAATCCAGTATCCCCTACTTTTTTAAATGGTATGTATTCACTCTATGGAAAGCGTGGGGCATTTCCAGAATGTAGTTGTTGACAGCATTTGAATGATATGGTGTATCAGTTTGGGTGTGAGTCTTTCTACACAGTGGAGGGCCTCAATACATGCCAATAAAGGGGAAGATATATATTCTATTCTTAGGAACATCTGCGTCCCCCGCCGTGATATTGCGGGAATATTGATAAAGCGAATTAAAACCTCACTCACTCAATCACTCACTCCAGAAATACGTGGTTTTGTTTTTTTATATTTGATTGACATCAACATATTTAATACGAATCACTTCAACATGTATAGTAATGGTACTTGTATTCGGGGAGCACCCTTGGGCCGCATGTGGCACTGCAATCCGCATTGCAGAGTTGTGTGCCTTAGGCGTGCTGGATACTGTGTTCATCGAATCCCAGACTCGCCATGGCACCATCTCCGTACTCTTTTTTTCGGAATAGTAACAGGCTTATTAGCTTTCCTCCGACAGGACGATGACACTCACTCACTCACTCACTCACTCACTCACTCACTCATATTTCAGGTGCAGCTAACGTTCCTGCGGTGTCTCTGCCCCAGAAAAGACCGGTGTGTGGTCCCGTGTGCCCCATCTTCTGTAAATGTGGGAATATCCCTGATGAGAGAGGATGTCCAACGTGTCGTTGTCGACCATGTGGTAAGCTCCTATAACCGTAACCTCCAGCAGACGTTCCTGCTGCTAGGATATCTGGATCTATCCTGTTGCACCAGTTCAAAGGTGCAAATAATTGCTGTTTATTTTGTCATTAAAGTATCATTTCTGGGTGGTATTTGTGACTACAGACTGTTCCCAGTCTGTGCTTATAGGGCCTGTAAGTCTCGCGATGCGCTACTTCCGGCACTAAGCTGGTTCCTGGCTCCCTTTGCTCGCCGGATATGCGAGACGGGGCCCAGCTTACTTCCGTTACCAGATTTCCGAAAATGACTTCATTAGCTGGACCAGGTTCGAGTGAGTTATAGTTTCTAATGATTGTGGTATTTTGTGTGTGTGTGTTTTTGCTTTTGTTTTTGTTCTTTTTCTGGGTGTTTTTTTTTCTTTTTATGTAAGCAACAATTCATATATCTATGACTAGACATTCGTCATTATTCACCTTGTTACTTTTAAATTTCAGCTGCTATTGAATAGAAACCGAGACGCATATCCATTATCCGAGGTTGCTGTGGTACAGATTTGTATATTTTCCTGTTAAATATGTGGAAGTTTTTACATATTGTACAATCTTAATTTTTTACTGACCCCTTTTCAGATTTATTTTCATGAACAGTACTAAATAAAGTCCACGTGAAATAATCTCTTCTCGTATTTGTAAATACTATTTAAAAAAACGGACTATTGTTAAACGGTGTTTAGACTATAACATATGCGAACAGGAGCGGTCTTCTAACCCAGCGGTCAAACGGTTCGCCTCTTAAACCAGGGGTCCGGGTTCCATGTGTGAAGCGTGTGGTCCACATTGCACGTCACATTGTGTCGAAAGAACTATTACCTCAAGGAAATATGTACGGTGGCATAATAAGGCCATCTTTTTTTTTTCTTTTTCTTTTTTTTCTTGAAATTTCCAGATTGTAAGCTGAAATTTCAAGATGTTGATCTTGAAATTTCAAGATAATAAGTTGAATTTCAAGATAATAAGTTAAAATTTCAAGATATTTTACTTGAAATTTCAACTTAATGATCGCGTAAAAATCTTGAAATTTCAAGATCTTACGTTAGTGGTATGTAAAAATTTCAACATAGCATCCTGAAATTTCAACATATTAATTTGAAATTTCAACATAGTATCTTGAATTTTCAAGATTTTTTTACGCGATCATTAATTTGAAATTTCAAGTAAAATATCTTGAAATTCCAAGTAAAATATCTTGAAATTTCAACTTATTAACTTGAAATTTCAAGATTGCCATCTTGAAATTTCAACTTACAATCTGGAAATTTCAAGTCACTACTTGACATTTCAAGAAAAAAAAAACACATGGCCCTATTATGCCACCGTAAATATGGAATTATGGGTTGACTTAAATTATATTTTGCATTTATGTTTACACTGCCTAACTACGCGCAGTTCAAACTGTAATACCCTCGTAACCCTTTTAGGGCCATTCGGGTTTTTTCTTTTTCTTGATATTTCAAGATACTATGCTGAAATTTAAACTTACCATCTTGAAATTTCAAGATCATTTCTTGAATTCACACCGAGGTATTGCAGCTTTCCCATCCTTACGAGGTACCCATTCACAGCTGGGTGCACTGGGACACATAGTCACAGTACTTTGTCCAAGTTTACTGCACATTGCTGTACCCGCAACTGGGTGTTTGCATGTATTGATGTGGCCACCATCTGGTCATATACCAACGGATTCGTGGGTTCTTTTAAGTGCACAGGGTTGTGTACTCTACACTAGGGGTTGTGACAACACTGAAAGAATCTGCACACAAAGTTGACTGCAAGGTTTTTACACCCGGTCACTTAAGCGCTCGACCCCGCACGTCATGGTCGCTGGATCTCTAGCCTGGCGCCTTAGCCAGCTCGCCCACCATGCCCCAACTTAATATGCATCTTGAAATTTCAACTAAGCATCTTGAAATTTCAAGAAAAAGAGAAAGAAAAAAACACATGTCCCTAAAAGGCTACCAGACTATCAACAGGAACACATATTCCTTTAGCGTATAAGGAAACAGCTGTGAAAATTATGTGAATGGACCGCTGAAACTCGAGTTGACACCAGGTGTTCACTAAAAAGGGTAAATACATTCTTCCTGCCGGTAAAATTTGCCGCACAATAGAAGTTTGTTTTGCCTGACAATAAAGCGATATACCAACAGCTTCAACATTTGGTATGCACAATCCATTACTTGTGAGGTATGCTCTTTCTCCGAAGATTTCTAAAAGTGTCATACCACCTTCAAAATGGTTTATGAAGATCTGAATTTGACGTGGTCCCGATATGGCTGAAATTGAGAAGATGTGACTTCAATATTTAGCTCACTCACTCACTCACTTACTCACTCACTCTAAATTTGCTACATCGGCGTCAACCGTTTAATTCCCCATTTTGAATTTATTTGTGTCCCTGTGTATTTTTTTCAGTACCTGTGGGTATTCCATGGGTTTATTGTCTGTTATTTCTATTTTCATTATTATTATTTTCATTCATTCATACATACATACATACATACATACATACATACATACATACATACATACATACATACATACATACATACATACATACATACATACATACATACATACATACATACATACATACATACATACATACATACATACATGCATACCTACATACATACACTACATTTATTCATTCATTTTGTTTATTAATATTTTCAACAACAACAACAACAAAATTTTATTATTATTATTATTATTTTATTTTTCTTTGTGTGGGGGGGGGTGTGTACATTTATGTAGTCCTATTTCTGCTTTACTTTAATTCTTATGTTTTTGTTTGGTTCTGTTTTTTTGGTTGGGGGCGAGTGTCTATTTTGTTTGTATGTTATGTGGAGGTAGAATAATTGGGTTTCGTGGAGGGGCAGAAGAGGTCCTCTTCACTGGAGGCGGCTGGTATCATCACTGGTGATAAACAAAACATGGTCGGAATATGACAATGGAAAGTATTTTGTTGCTTTTACATACCCTCTTCTTTAAGAAGCCTAACAACTCAGAACAACATAAATCACTGATATGTGAATGAATATGGCAAATTTTGTAATCTCAGTATGTTCCGCCAACAAGTCAGTTTGCGGTGCAGGTTTGCATCTTTTGGGTCCGTTCATTTTTTATGGCTGGGGGGTGTATGTGTGTGTGTGTGGGGGGGGGGGGAAGAAGGATGATGATTTTTATGGAGTAGCATGAACAATAATTGCTGACCTCTCCCCTAGTACATGTGTACAAAATTGATGACCCCCCACTTCCCCAGAACAAAATGGGTGACCCCCTTAAAATCATCTCTCTCTCTCTCACTCTCTCTCTCTCTCTCTCTCTCTCTCTCTCTCTCTCTCTCTCTCTCTCTCTCTCTCTCTCTCTCTCTCTCTCTCTCTCTCTCTCTCTCTCTCTCACACACACACAAACACACACACACACAATCCAACCCTCCAGCCATAAATTATGAACGGTCCCTCAGGTAAGACAGATCCACAATGGTTTGACAGCACCATGTCAGAGGTCGTTGGTTTAACACCACTGGCAAACGAGACAAGTATTACTTCATGTTTTCTTCCCAGATCTAACAGACATTCCGCGAAGTAAGTGTCAAACTAAACCGAACTAACTCACTCACTCACTCACTTGCCTTGATGAACCACTTACATAAAGTAATATACACCTGACGTGAATGCACTAACTATAACCTATGAGTCGTCCATTGTATATATCACAAAGAATATCTCACGCAGAAAAGGTCATTTATAAGTTATATTTCATAATGTTATGTTTCAGCGGGTATTTGAATACATATAAATCATTCAGAACAAATCATGGAATACACATAAACATTCTGAGCAAACTATTGCATATATGCAGCATTAAGAGCAAACTACTGCATATAGAAATCATTTAAAACATATCATCATATACATGTATATTATACATTCCGAACAATCATTGAGAACTATAACTATTTAACGTATATATCATTCCGAACAACACATTGCATATATAAATCACTCGGAACAAAAGAATTGCATATACATTTTCTAAACATCCAAAGACTGTATGCATATTTCGGCGACCATAATTGTAGTCGTCGTTAGTAGCAAAGGCACGTTGGACAGCCGTTGACGTATTTGAAGCCGCGGGGACACACGTCGATGGGAGGAGGAGGACACGTAGGAAGAGAGCAACAGCTACACGTTGGACAGCCGTTCACTTCCACGTATCCAAATATACACCATTGACTGCACTTAAAGGGGGAACAACCTGGAACACACAAGAATCAGACATGGGCATGTTTGTTTGACGTCGCACTCGTACAAGCTGAAGTCATACGTCATCAATCATATGTGGCAGTGTTATACCTTGTGCAACAATGCTTCATCTGTTATACATTTTACCTGTAGATTTAGTAAGGGGCCGTGGTGTGCTATATTTAGACTTGTGCTAGATTTAGACAGAAAGATCTGGAATGGCATACCAGGATCTATCCATCCATCCATCCATCCACCTATCCATCCATCCTTCCATCCATCCTTCCATATCTATCTATCTATCTGTCTGTCTACCTACCTACCTACCTATCTAGCTGTCTATCTATCTAGAATTTCACTGATCAAGAGCTTAGTTGAAAAGTGTCTTGAGTTTTGATTTGAATCCAGTGAGAGTGGTCTGGGGTTTGATATGGATTGGCAGTTCATTCCACAAGTATGGTCCGGCATATTCAAAGGCTCTTACGCGAAAGGTCTTTGTGCGTGATGTTGGTACCTGCAGTTGAAGCCCCTCTTTAGATGTGAGTGAGCAACGTGGCTGGTATCTGTGAATAAGACTGGACAGGTAAGACGGAGTTATCTATGCAGGCACTTGTACACCAGTACCAGTATGTTATACTGAATACGGTACCTCACTGGTAACCAGTGGAGGTGTTGCAGGACCGGTGTCATATGGTCATACTTCTTTGTTTGCCAACAACCCTGGCAGAAGTGTTCTGGTCCTTCTGTACATTATTTGCATCTTTTGCAATAAAGAAGTTTTCTAACCATAAAAATGTGTTCCTCTTCGTCGTTGTTGATTTGTGATTCCCAAGAGAAGAGAATTACAATAGTCGAGGCGTGATGTTACCAGTGCATGTTGATATCTCATCATGTTGCTGGTGTTATGGTAGGCTTGCTTGGAGATGAGGTTGACATGTGACTCAAAATTAAACTGACTGTCAAAAATGACTCCTAGGTTACATACTTCAGAGCTTGGTGTGATCTCACAATCGCCAAATTCGACTTGTGGCAGTGAGACTCTAGGTCGACAGAGTATCAACAGTTCTATTGTGTCTTCCTTCATTTTGAGGTGGTTACAGTTACATGGATTAGCTAATAGCGCATTGCCGGGAGAGCCACATTCCCACGATCACTCAACCATGCCGATTACCGGTGGACCCACACCGTTTTCAAATCTGTTTTTCTTAAATGTGTCTTTTCCCAGGCTATAACCAATTGACTAGCTCAGGCACTTGGGGGGAAGTGCACTTTCTTTTAATGTCCCAAACAGGAAACACTAGAGTAGTAGAGACTTGGCAGAGTAGAGATTTAGAAGAGAAGTGAGCTGTTAGTTAATAAATCTAAAACATACGTTATTTAGGGTTCTGACTGTCAAATGTGCTGGTGAAATCCTGACCATAACAGGACATAAGTTCTATATAAATGTTCTACATAGACTGTTATTTCAATGTGATATGTAACAAGAAAAGAAATGAATTTTTGTTAATAACCCTGCCTTAATAAAAATATACTTTATTACTAAGTGATATTCACTCGAACGTCATAATAGTTCAGGGCGAAAGTGTGCTTTATTACACTATACATGGTGGTAGAGAGAACTGTATTTCTTAATTAGATATCGACCAAATAAACTTGTTTTGTGAACCTCGGTTATGTGAGTGAGTGATGGAGTATGTGTCTGCCTGTGTGAATGTGTGTGTGTCTGTGTGAATGGGTCTGTCTGTCTGTGTAAATGTGTGTGTGTCTGTTTGTGTGTGAAAGAGTGTGTGTGTCTCTATATGTGTGTGTCTATGTATGTGAGAGAGAGTGTCTGTATGCGTGTGAGAGTGTGTGTATGTATGTGTGTGAGAGAGTTTGTGTCTGTATGTGTGTGAGAGTGTGTGTATGTGTGCGAGTGTGTGTGTGAGAGAGAGCGTATGTGTGTCTATCTGAGCGTGAGAGTGTGTGTATGTGTGTGAGAGAGAGTGTGTGTCGGTATGTGTGTGAGAGAGTGTGTGTGTGTCTGGATGTGTGTGAGAGAGTGTGTGTGTCTGTATGTGGGTGAGAGATTACAAATGGGAGGAGTTATTGAGTATCTTGTGGAAGATCAGGCCTACACTTTCTTGGAATGCAAGTTCGAGACAAGCTCCTGAATGCCCAGATTCAAGACAAACTTCGGGCCAAGTATAACTTTCACTTAAAGAAAATCTGGAGCTCAGAGCTAAGTGCTTGAAACCAGGTCAAAGCTACCAATACTTTTGCTGTGCCAGTCCTTTCCTATTCCTTTGGAGTTGTTGACAAAAGTTGACATCCAGAGTCTTGACCGCCTGACCAGAAGTAACATGTCTGACAACAGAGCCCACCATCCTCGTTCCTCTCTCAATCGTTTACATATGCCACTCAATTTTGGAGGTCGTGGTTTCATTAATATGCATTTATTGATCGGATGATCCTCTGGTGATGCATGTAAAGACTCAAATTTGAGCTTGAGGTTGATAGCTGGAGGGTACAGCGATGAGAGTAAACCAGGTAAAGTCATTCACCAAGTCTGCCCACAGCATTATTCCAGGTATATGGCTGCGGTCTGTATATAATTAAATCTTGACCAGACAATCCAGTGATCAACAGCATGAGCCTCACCACCCGATCCCGTTAGTCGCGTCTTACGACAAGTGCACTACTTATGGTTACCTTCTCGCAATGACATTTGTCAACCATGAGTGAGTGAGTGAGGTTAGTTTTACGCCGCACTCAGCAACATTACAGCTATATGGCGGCAGTCTGTAAATAATCCAGTCTGGACCAGACAATCTAGTGATCAACAGCATGAACATCGATCTACGCAACTGACATGTGTCAACCAAGTCAGCGAGCCTGACCACCCGATCCCGTTAGTCGCCTCTTACGACAAGTATGGTTTGCTGAAGACCAATTCAAACCCGGATCTTCACGGGTGTAAACCATAATAACAATGATAATATCATACTACCCTGATCAATTTCTGTCAGTGGCACTCCACGAACGTCTGATAATTCGACTTACCATCTTGGTTGACACTCTTCGCAGACAAGCAGGCCGCCATTGCCAGAACGTACACCACATTGGAAGCCATGGTAAATGTCCATGGCTGTTGTAACACACGAAGTCCTTTTATAGGACATAGCGAGCAATTCATATGTCATGCTTGTCAGGCCACGTGTTTCGTCAAACATGGCCAGCATGTGAAACAAAATAACAGTTCCTCTTACTTTGTCACACAGCGAAAAAAATATATGATTTACGACATGTCAAAGTTACCAGGTAAAGCATGTGAAGAGAGGCGATCCTCGTCCCCCTTTTTTCTAATTAATTTGATGTTGGCTGTTGTTCAAAAATATAAATAGCAGTGATATATAATTGTAATTATCTCCTAAATCTAAAAGACCTTAATATTTTGTAATGTCTAAAGATTTTTGCTTATAGTTTTTTCGAGAGGTTTATATGTAATATTACGTTGTTGTGTCGAGGTTGAGTGAGTGAGTGAGTAAGGTTTTACGCTACTATTAGCAATATTCCAGCAATATCAAGGCGGGGGACACCAGAAATAGGTTTCGAATATTGTACGTTAGGGAATCGAACCCGGGCTTCCCTAGCGTAGGCTACCCAACCGACCGGCCGAGGTTAAGGATATATGTGGGAGGTGGGTAGCCTCATGGTTAAAGCGTTCACTCATCACGCCAAAGACCAGGATTTGATTGCCAACATGGGTACACTGTGTGAAGCCCATTTCTGGTGTTCTACGCCGTGGTATTGCTGGTCTACTGCTAAAAGTTGAGTAAAACTAAACTCACTCACCTGCGTTAATGCATTGCGATTTCCAGAATATCTCTTTGATTGGCATTTAAGAAACTGATTGGTAATAATAAGACAAGAAACGAAACTCGCTCACTCAATTACCCACTCACTCACTCACTCACTAATGACCTCGTAGTTCGCCTCCGTGGTGTTGTGGTTAGAGCGTCCGCCCGGAGAGCGGAAGGTCGCGGGTTCGATCCCCGACCGCGTCATACCAAAAGACGTTAAAATATGGTACTTGTTGGTCCCTGCCTGGCGCTCGGCATTAATGGGTACAACAAGGACTGGTCGGCTCGGAGTCATTATAATGTGTCCTAGTGGGGTAGTCATGCTTCACTGCGGCATGGTATCTCAGTGGGCTAGCACTATAAAACCAGCTTAAGTCTGGGCTAGTACAAGCAGCCGCACCTACACATACACACGCATGCACGTCGTCATATGAACGAAATATTCTCAAGCACGACGTTAAACCCAATTTCACCTCACCTCACCCATGACCTCTTAAAGAAATAAGCTCATGAAAAATGTGTTTTTCACCTAGTTCAGTTGCAACTGGAATGAACCAGTTTACACTCGCATTGAGTATTACCTGCCATACATTGCACGTGCATGGATTAAACCACTCGTTGTGCTCAGAGGCTTAACCTTTTCCGTCACTCTTTATATTTCTCTTTCATAGATTATTTTTTAATACACTTTTTAATTAATTTTTTTAATTTTATTTATTTTTATTTATTTTTCTACTTTTTATTTTTGTATTTATTTTGTGTTTGCTTTTGTTTTGTTTATGTTGTTTTTTATTGGGGAGGGGCGGGCGGGGTGGTAATCGGGTTGGTTTCCTCATTTTATAAGCAACCAACCAACGTAACTTCGGCATAGATAACGTGTCATGCAAATGTTAAACACAGTGGACGTACCCATTTACACTTGTGGAGATTCATTAAGTTTGAGGGGTAGTGGGGTAGCCTAGTGGTTAAATATTATATCCCGGGGTGTTGAACCACAGACCATCAACTATCTGAACCATCTCCAGGGCCACGTTGGTAAAGATGGTCGGATAAAATACGGGATCATTATCTCATACTGTGCAGGTCAGATAGAGTTAGATCCAAGGTGCAATACATTTATCTGTCTTTACGTCGGTGTTTATATTTCAGGTTGGTCAGGGGCGGTGGGGTAGCCCAGCAATATTCCAGCAACATCACGGCGGGGGACACCAGAAATGGGCTTCTCACATTGTACCCAAGTGGGGATTCGAACCCGGGTCTTCGGCGTGACGAGCCAACGCTTTAACCATTAGGCTACCCCACCGCCCCGAAGATCCGGATTAGAATTGATATTCAGCAACCTATGCTTGTCGAAAGAGGCGACTAACGGGAGCGGGTGGTCAGGCTCGCTGAGTTGGTTGACACATATCATCGCGAGAAGGCGACCATAAGTAGTGCATTTGTACCCAATCCCTTTGTCTTTTTGACAATAAGATATGTTTAAAACAAACAAACATGTCATCGTATCCCAATTGCGTAGATCGCTGCTCATGCTGTTGATCACTGGATTGTCTGGTCCAGATTCGATTATTTACAGATCGCCGCCACAGAGCTGGAACATTGCTGAGTGCTGCGTAAAACAACAAGCAAACCAGCTTGGTAAAACTTCAGGTCACATTAATTCAATTGGAATCACAGTCACCTTTTCCAACCCTACCTCCATTTCAGCTGTCGTTTATATGACACAACTGCGCTCAATTTATTAATTGACTCAATCATAACTCTCAAGTTGTTGTCAGAAACCCATGTCGTGTATAGCTTCATGACTGATGACATGGCTTCGGGGCGAGAAATCTCGACTGCCGCAAATGATAACCATACCATCGGTCTGATGTTTATATTCGCTGGAGCATGCTGTGTATAGTAATTATGAGGATCTGTTACAGGTCGTAAAATCTGGCCGAGGGTACGTATGTCCGCGTCATTCAAAGCATATTTTTTAAAAATCGTACCATGTTTTTAATCGTAGAATTTGTGTTCCTTTAATTCATTGCTAAATTTGTCAAAATCGTTAACAACTGAAGGGATGGTGTAAATCTAACTAGTGTCCATGCGGGTAGCAATAGCGCCGTAAGGCTCCACGGTGTCTGGTTTAGTGATCTAGCTTCAGTTGTTGGCCCATTTTTATATGGCATTGCTGCGCAGAGAATTCATGATTGCATGACAGTTTTAAGTGTAAATCTGTAATATTTTAGTTGTTTCTGTCGACATGTATTTATATCGTCTATGTTTCTTTTGTGAATATACAACTTTCAAAGTCACGATATCCCTGATATACTACCGATGTAGCATTAGAGTGAGTGAGTGAGTTTATTTTTACTCAGCAATATTCCAGCTATATGGCGGCGGTCTGTAAATAATCCAGTCTGGACCAGACAATCCAGTGATCAACAACATGCGCATCGATCTACACAATCGGGATACGATGACATGTGTCAACCAAGTCAGCGAGCCTGACCACCCGATCCCGTTAGTCGCTTCGTACGACGGGCATGGGTTACTGAAGATCAATTCTAACACGGATCTTCACGGGTCTGTGACATTAGATTGTCGCTCAGTTACTGTCGCTGAAGTAATTTTGATAACATATACTATCCAAAAAATGAAATGCATAGGCGTTTTGTATTTTTTAAAATCTATTAATTACCAATTGTTTTCATACACAATTGCACAAGTGAAAACTCGACTTTACTTGAAAAAGTTGATTTTGAAGAGATTTCTTACAAGAATTAAAAAGGCATCGCCACAACGCAACAGAAAGCACCTTCCAGTTGAAATTGTGCAGCAAAGAGCATGCACTGTCTGCCGATAAAAACAAGATTACTTTCGGAAATCAGCATTCGTTTTGAAGGAGTTTCAAGGTCAAATCACTACGCCAAGTCTTGACGCTGCGATACGGAACATCTCCAATGAAGGAATGCACGCTGGAGATTACCAATTTTCTGTTGCCAGGCGTCTGAATGTTAGTCTGAGCACGATATCACTGCTTGCACTCGTTACAACCAAACAGGTATGACAAATGACCGTCCTCGTACAAGCAGACCTCGAGTCACCACTGCAGCCCAAGATCGGTACATCCGGGTACGACATTTGTGTGATCGTACCGCCACGGGTGAGAGCACAGCAGCCAGGGTGTCTAGACTTCGGAGGATATCCTGTCAAACTGTACAGAACAGGTTGAGAGAGATTGGACTGAGAGCCAGGAGACCCGACGTCGGCACCATGCTATGTGGTCACCATCGCGCTTAACGTCTCCGTTATCTAAAATTATCCACTTGGTTGTATAGACATTTCCTTCTAAACTGATGTAAAAATTCATGTACTGAAGTCTATTTGTGGACGAGTTATACATGTTTGAACAGATATCTGGGTTATGCGTTTCTTTTGGGGAATAGTATACATACAGTTATTATACAGTGTAAAGGGTACGATGAGGACATTTCCTAGGTTGATACATCAGTGACTGATGTCTGATACAATCCCAATTATGACTTGTACCATATGTACCCGTGATTTTTCAGTAAACAATTTACTAGCCTTTGCATGTTTTTATGCTACAGGTGGAGCAGGATCCGCTCACCTTTTCGTGTACAGCTAGTATCACCACTATTTGATTCGTAAAGACATGTTCATGATAGAGCAGGAATTGCACAATAAATGGTCAGTAATTATTTCCCTGGTATATTGTTACAAATACTTTTATCTTACCTTCATGTAAAATATTTTAATTTCATTGGTCAATGACCCTTTAACAAGTTTCCGTGTCACCCCTCCCAGAAGGGTGACAACTGGAAAAAATATTACCCGCTGCCGCGGTAATCGCCAGACTCTCCGCCGAGAAGCTGTATCGCCAACAATCGTATGACGTCATAATATGACGCATGCAGAGCACGGAGTTCGAAAACCGTTCGATTAGCTGTTTTTGAGTTCACTTTGTACACATTTATTTGACCGACTTTCACTGCTTTACTTAAACTATTTTATCAGTGAATCGTTTGCACGCACAATTTAAACACCAGTAACCATTTTTATAGCAGTTTTAAGCTTGTCAGAATATGTTTCAATGATTTTAAAAATCCAGTCGAAAGATAGACGCTAATTTGTTTACATGTCATATAGTCGGTAGCGATCTTATAAATATAATAAAATGATACTCTGTACATTTAACGGTAAGATATATACGTCGTATGCTTCTCCCATGGGTAATACCGGCTCGAGTGACACTGCTCCAAAGAG